GACACTCTCTAAAATATCTGGGACCTTTCTTGTGGTGTAGACTTGTACTAAAAAAAGACAAGAACAGCTTGACTACTTTTAAATGTTGTATAGAGAAAAGACATTTGACAAATGTAATTTCAGATGGGGGATGTATAAACTGTCAGTTATGAAATAATTGAATTAATCACTTGTATTATTTTAGTCCTTTTTTAGCTTTTAATTGTTGTATAAAGAGATTTAACATTATTTAATTTTAGATAGGGATGTATAGACTGTCAGTTATGCAGTAGCTGAATTAATCACTTGTGTTATTTTATCATTATTATTATTATTATCCACCGTTTTCTACAGCTCCCCCAAAACTGAAGGTCTGAATGGGGTTTAGTGTTTAGCGTTTTTTGCCCTTCATTTTTAGTGTTGTTTCCGAAGAAAGTATCGTTAAAGGTGTTTGTGGGGTTCTTCAGACATATTCGGCAATGGACAAACCTCCTCGTTAGTCTTCGGATATTTTCGGCAGCCTTCGGGAATCTTCGGTAGCCTTCGGAAATCTTCTGAATTAAATTGTCGTAAAATGGCCGAAAACTCCTTGATATACTAAACAAAAAAATACAGTCAACTCTTGCCTTGCCGACAACCTGCTATAACGGACACCTCGATAAAACGGACAGCAGTTAATTCCCTGCCGAAAACAAATTACAGACATTTGACTGAAATAAACTCCCGCTATTATGGACTCTCGCTAATGAGGACACTAACTCGAGGTCCTTATTGGCCTTTTTGGCGCCCTTTTTGCTTCTTTCTGGAAAAAAAAAATACTGTCTCAAAGAATTTTTTTTGCTGTTAGCATTATTGAAAATGCCTAAAATTTAACAGTGTTGATGTTACAAAGCCACAAAATAAAGTGTTTAGTGTTATCGAAGCACCCCCATTCAGATCCTCAAAACTAACTGAGCTAACTCAACCTCGTTCCCAGGGATTCTCGGCGTTTGCCGTTCATATTTTTTCCGGCGATAGCCTGAACTTTAAGTATTGAAGTCATTCTACTGGATATCGCAAATCTCTCCTGTTCATTGAATTAATTATAACAATAATAATAATAATAATAATAATAATAATAATAATAATGAAGAAATGAAATTTTAATAGTAATATAGGAAATAATTTGTTTTCTTGAAACATATCATTCCCCGAGCACAACACCCTAGCCAGAACCGATAGAGCTAAAACAAGTCGTCCGATGATGATCTCGCGCGAGGTATTTCCGAGCTCAAAGACGAGTTTCGTTCTGGTTTATCTTCTTTAAAGAGAGAACTTGCACAAGAGCACGACGCTGCGCTGAAGAAGCTCAAGACAGCTACTGCTAGTGTTCCAAAATTTTAAAAGAAAGGCAACGAGAAGCAGTCCCTACTTAATTCTGAAGTTCTTAAACACGTCCAGTCTGCTTCGACCGCCCTTCAGGCGTCTTCGCCTCAAGTTGAAAAGGCCTTCGAAGAGTAAAGGAAGTTTCCAATTTTTCGAACCCGTTCGTTGCCGTCAATTGGCCTAAGGCTCACCGTGGTTCGCGTGTTGGCAGTTGCTTTGCTTTTGGCATTTTCGGCCTTCTCAGGAATCAGCTAGTGCCCCGTCCTTCAGGTGTAGTTTTCACCTAGCCAACCTCGGAAACGTACGTGATGGACTCGGATGTTGGTGAACTCGTCGAGGACACAGATAAATTAAGGAACTTTGTTGAAGATGATTTTGACTTTTTTTGAATATGAACAGGGTCGTAGTTCTACTATCGTTGTAGCCGGTAGGCTAAAATCCCATATCATTGTTCAGTTTTGGCGTTCTAGAGGCGCCAGCCAATTTATTCTAGATGTTATCGAGCATGGTTATCGTATTCCTTTCCACTCTACACCCCCTGTTAGTTTTTCTAGTTATAATAAGTCAGCTTTGGCGCATTCTGATTTTGTTAACGAAGCTATTTCCAAATTGTTGGTTACCAATCGCATTTTTGGATCGGACGTCCTGCTCCATAACGTCAACCCTCTTTCCGTTTCTGTTCAATCATCTGGGAAGAAGAGGTTGATCTTGGACCTTAGGTTTGTAAATAAGCATGTCTGGAAGCCAAAGATCAAGTTTGAGGTTCTTAAGGTTGCTCTGAATTATTTTGACAAGGGTCATTTCATGTTTTCATTTGACATTAAGAGAGGTTATGATCATGTCCTTATTTTCCCGCCCCACCAGACATTTTTTGGGTTTTTCCTGGTTTTACCAGGGTAAGGTCCGTCAGTTTTGTTTCAGGGTCCTGCCCTTCGGCCTCTGTTCAACCCCTTTTGTTTTCACAAAGATTTTTAGGCCTCTCGTTGCCTACTGAAGGTGGGTTGGTATTCACATTGTCGTTTATCTTTATGATGGTTTAGGGGAGGGGCCTTCATATCGGGTTGCTTTAGCCCATTCCACCACGATTAAGACTGATTTGATTCGTTCTGGCTTTGTACCCTACCTCGAGAAATCTGTTTGGGTTCCTACATCAGTCCTTGATTGGTTGGGTTTCCCCATTGATCTTTTTCAGGGTTTGCTTATTGTTCCGGGGATAAAACTCAAACGGGTTCTTTCTGATATTGATTCCCTTTTAGAGGCTAATTGTTGCACTGCCAGGGCACTATCCGTTCTTGCTGGTCGTATTAATTCCTTTAAACTAGCTGTAGGTAATGTTACAACATTGATGACAAGTTTATTCATATGTCCATCGTCCTTCAGCCTAGTTGGGACTCTAGGTTTCCTTTGTCCGATTCTGTCAAAGAAGAGTTTTTTTTTTTTTTTTTTTTTTTTTTTTTTTTTTTTTTTT